CAAAGGCAGTCTGGAATGTCGTTTTCCTGTGGCCTTTATCAATTAAGTGGGTCTCACAGTTGGTGTACATCAGTGTGCTTCCAGAAAGCCAGGCCTATAGGTGGGCAGGAGCTGGTACAATGCTTTAGTAGTATTCTCAGAAAGTGGGACACTCACTACAGATCTTCCCATACTCCTGCCTGCTTTGTGGCTGGCAGAACAATGTTGAAGTTGAAGTATGACCCCTGGAGACTAGTGTGAATCCTGGTCCCATCACTAACTAGCTATGTGACTTTGGGAGGTTACTTAACCTTTCTATATCTCGGTGTCCTCACATGTAGTGTGAAGATTAGAGTTCATACCTTATAGGGTTGTTATAAGGATTAGATAAGTTTATATTGGAAAACCCCTTTAGAGGAGAGCTTGGGACATCATAGGAGTGATAGAAGCATTTGTTACATAAATAAATATGTTTGAGAGGATGGTTGGAACAGAAAGATTTGGTTTAGGGCAGTGGCTGGTCCTTGTTCATCAAAATGTGGCCTTGGAGTCACACTTGCAGTGGCCAGAGGCTGTCTCTTCACTATAGCACACCCTATAGGGGTGGCTAGAGTATAATGTCCTAACGCAAAATTTGCTGTATGTCCTCACCAGAGGTAGCAGTCCATGGAAGAGCCACATGGGGCTCAAGAGCAATACTGAGAAATGCTGATCATTAACCCTTAATCCTACCGACTTCTCTAGGAAGTCAGTATGGCAGATACTGCTAGTTGACCACTAATATCCATTCTCCCTTTCTTCTTTGATAAAGGCCAGTGTTTTGCCAAGCACATGGTCACCCAGCCAGTGACTACACTTCCCAGCTTTCTGTAAGGCGAGGCATGGCCATGTGATGAGATTGCGGTCAAGGGAATGTGAGCAGAAGTGAAGCGTGCCATTTTCAGGTTGTGCCCTCAAAAGGAAAAAGCATATGCTCCACTGGCTCCTGGGCCCCTTTGTTCCCCTTCCCACTGGGGATTTTATCCTTAATCAAGGGCTAAGCTATCTGCTATTGAGCTCTTTTGTATATGTAATGTATACAAAACATTAGTAAAACTTAGCAATCCGGTTAATTACTAATGTACCTGGATTGCTAAGTTTTACTAAACACAAAATGTGCGAATATTTTTGTTTTTGTAAAAAAAATTTCTGTATGTGCTCTACATAATTTGATTTGCCTCTTATTTATTTGCCTCTGAAGGAAGGTTGGCCTGAAATATGGAAAGAACCTTCTATTTGGGTGACAGGTTCTAGCATGTAATACTTTTGTACCATATAAAATTCAGGTAAAATATTTTGAAAATTAAAAAAAAAAGCAGGACCAAATTATATATTCTATATGATTCTCTCTCTCTCTCTTACACACACACATGTGCACACACACACACACTACATAAACACAAGAGAAAATATTGGTAAGAAAGATATCTATTACCACCTATAGATAATTATTTATTTATTTAAAAAAATTTTTTTAAAAGATTTTTATTGGGGAATTGGGGGAAGCGGAACAAACAAATTGCTGACTTTTTGTTCTTCAGTCTAGTTGTGGAGGACGTTGCCTCACTGGCCCAAGTTGGCACCATCATTGCGCTCTTCCCCGGGCGAGGCAGATCAGTTGCTGGCTTCTGGACGGCCGCTCACAGCGGCTGCTGGCCGCTCACACTGGCTGCTGGCTACACACGGTAGCCCTTGGCAACCCACTGCAGCAGGGGCTTCAGCCTATGCTGTCGTTGGTGACTCATGGTAGCCCAGCTCCAGGTTGAGCTGTTGTTCAGCATCTTAGCTGTGGAGGGCAGTGTCACTGGCCCTCGTATGTGGGATCTGAACCGGGGCCCTCTGGCGACCCAAGCCAGCTCTTAACCATCGTGCCACTCGGCCGGCCTGATGATTATTTATTTTATATATTATTCTGTATTTTCCAAGCCTCCATTGGTAAGCATATATTACTTTTAAACTAAAAAGAAGTTAAGGTAATAAATTCCAAATCCTTGTTTCTGTGTTCCCTTTTTCTCAAACACCCAGATCAATAGCATGGCACATAAGGCCTGGTTGAAAAATGGATTTTAATTTTCCCCTCAGGACAGTTGCAACTATGGCCGTTACCAGACCCCAAGGGACATCTGGGCTACCTCTTCCTAAATAATTGTTCTTATTAAAGCAGGAAGATGTGAGAAAGCAAAACAGGCAGAGCAGAGAATATGTGCTATTATCACCTATAATAAAACTGCTGTCACTTTTTAATGCAAATTTCACTTCCTTCTCCTGCCTGCTCAATCAGGCCTAGTCCACAGTGGGTTGAATCATACAGCTGTGGTGGTGGTCACTGCCCTTCCCTCAAAAGCCTTCTGGATTGTAAAACACCTCTTCTCTTTTACATTGTGTTCTTTTTTCTTCTCCTTACCCCTGTCTTTCCCTCACAGGGCCACTGAGAAGAGAATAAAACTGAAATATGTGGAATATGCTCAGCCCCTGAGAGGGTGGGTGGAATCAGAACAGAAATGATTATCTTGGTTCTTGTTATTCCTCATATTGCTTTATATACCTGTCATCCAACAAGACATATATGTTCATTCTCTCCATTCTTTTCTTGCAAATATTGACGAAAGAAAATTTGTCTATAAAGGTTTCTAGTTGAGTGTCCGACTTTTTCTCTTGAACATTTATTATATGGCGTACTTTGTAAGCTTGGTTTTAGATTTGGTGATATTAGGATTAATAACATCTTTTGTGCCAGTACATTGTATTTCATAGGGTTCTGAACGATCAGAGAACAGCAAAAATATACTCGTGTGTTTATATTAATAACTACAAAAATCTGGGACCAAAACCAATCATTTGGAATTACCTTTAGGTGTCAAACAGATTTGGCTTAATGTATTTTTAAACTAGGTCTGATTTTTAGAAATGTTTTTACTTAAACTATACATAGAGTCATAAAGCCATTGAATAGAATTCTACCTACATCGTTAATATAAATTTATTGTCACTACTTGTAAGCACACACCTTATTTTTATAAGATATGACATTATCTGAAAGTGTCTTGCTTCTCTATTTCTCTTTCACTGAAAACAATTCCTTAGGAATCCAAATCAACATGGAGGGAAACAGAGAAAAAAACAAAACAAAACATTGGACAATGTTTATATAAAGAACAAAGGTTAACACGACTTTAGGTCTTTTTTATTGACTTTGTTGATATTTATCTTAGTTAATGAAGAAACTGATTAATTTGATTCTTTCAACATTATTTATTCAACAAACCATGGGCTCTGGAGTTAAATGGACAGGGCTAGAATCCTGGCTCTATCCCTTAATAATTGTGTAACCTTGGACAAGTTATTTAACCTCTCTATGCCTCCGTTTCCTAATCTGTAAAATGAGGATAATATTGGTACCTAACTCATAGGGTTGTTGGAGGGTTAGCTGAGCAAATGCACACAAAAAGCTTAGAAAAGTCCCTGGCAGAGTAAGTACTCCGTCAATTCTAGGTGTGCAGGAATACAACAGAGAGCAAATCAAGGCCCCTGCTCTCATGGAGTTTATCCTTTAGTGGCAGTGTAAATGGGGTGGATAACGAAAGACATCACACAAATTACACAGCTAGTAGCATCTTCACAGTTGTGTTAAGTATAATGAAGGAAAAATATAGGACACTAAAGATCAATCTCTGAGCTGCTTTTCCCATGAAGTGCAAAAGTTAAACTTTTATGACTTAGATTCTTAATATCTCACATTTGTAAAATCAAGAACATCTGAAATTTCCACGATCATATATCCACCCATTGTATGTAGTTCATTGGTAAAAAAAATCAAACTTAAAAGTTGAGAACTTTTAATTTGAAGGTGATGGCATATTTATATACAAAGGTCTTTAAAGATAAATCTTAGCATCTGAGGGGAAAATAATTTATTCTATTTTATTTCAATGACAAACTAGTCAATGGCTTATTAATATTTTACTTTCAACATGGCTCTTTAAAGACACAGACTTTGTCAAAATTCTTATTCTTAGAAAGACATTATAGCATAGCGTTTCAGGGCCCAGGCTTTTAAATCGAAAGACCAAGGATCTAGGTTCTGACATTTAGCTAAGTTTTCAACTTTAGGCAAGCTCCTCCACCTGTTAGGCATAAGGTTCTTTATATTTAAAATGGGGGGTAATAAAGTTTTCATCATGACGTTGTGACGATTAAATGATATAGTCTGGCAAACAACTAGCAACGTCTAACACATAATAGACACTGAAAAAAGGGAAATTGCTAATCCAACGGGGAGCCTAAAAGGCTCACCTTTTTTGCAGTGGATTTTAGACTATTAAGAACTTGTCAATATTTCGTTTTTCTGTGTTTTTTTTTTTAGGCACATTTTTCTGAACATATAATCCGTGATAAAGAAAAAAATAATTTAACATTTGAGAGTAAGATTACTTGTTAAGCCTTAATTGCAGACTAGTGTTGGCATTTATTCCAAATTCCTATCAATCTTCCAGTTGCAAACAATACTAACATTAGGGTATGTCAAAACCTCATTGTGCACAGAGGAATTCAACCCAGGATTTTTGACTTTTTAAAGAACCGAGAGCAAATTTCTAGAGTTCAAAGCCCCACCCAGCAGGGCGTAACCGTTCCTTCAGGAAAACTGGCAGGATATCAACAGCCGCGTTCTCACCCCCGGGGAGCCGGTAAAACGCTGATAACCACAAGCGAGAGTCAAGCCTTGTCTGCAGGGCCGGCTTGGGTTTATTATCCCTGGGTTTGAGGTCAAGGGGGCGTGGCTTCTCGCTTCTTCACTCGGCTCTCCAGCCTTTCCCAGTCCTCGCGCCCCGCCTCCCTCCTGGAGCTCCTGCTCCTCACCGCTCTGCTCCTCACCCCTCCACTCTCGTCCTTATTTGGCTTTAATCCCATCCTGCCTGGCGCTCGAGCGGCCAATGAGGAGGTGGTCCTCCCGAAGGGGCGGGACCAAAGGCGGAGCTGATTGGCCGACTCTGAAGTCGCCTTCTTCAGCTCCGGGTTTGTAGAAACGTTGTCCTGCTGAGTGTGGAGACGCGTCAGAGTAGGCTGCCTGCAAAGTTCTGCGACACCAGTCGGACACCATGGCGGACAACCGGGATCCAGCCAGCGACCAGATGAAGCTTTGGAAGGAGCAGCGGGCTGCGCAGGTACACCCTGCGCTCTCGGAAAAATAGGAGCCCGCGAGTAACGGCCTTCAGCGCGGCGAAGTTCCGGGGGGCTGTACCATTGATGACGGGCGGAGGGTGGGGGTGGGGTGAGGAGCTGCTTTTCGTTCCAGATGGAGTTATATTCTCGGGGGTGAGGGGTGGTTGGGGGTGAGGGGAGAGGGTTCTGGGGCGGGGGGCAACTGGCCTGCAGGATTTGGCGCGAGTGGTTGGTTGGTGCATGTTGTCGCATGTGCTGTGCGCGGGTGGTTGGCCCCGAATTTTGCACTTTTGCCAGCTGGGACAGAGGTCGCAGTTTGAGGAAGCAATGGAGGCGTCGTGGAGAAAGAGGCAGAGAGCTGCAGCTGCAAGAAAGGAAATGAGGGGAAAAGTGGGAACAGGCTCTTCTTTGACCTTACTCAAACAGTAACTACAAGCATTCATATTTGCGGGGTGCCATGGGATTAGGGGCATCATCTCGATGTCCCTAGCACCGATCGCGGTGACTGATACGGTACTAAGTACGCACAGCATTAAACGACTAAGTAAAACAATTTTTATATCATTATTTCATTTGCACTGAAAAACATCAAGCCTAGCATTTTAGAGCTAGAAGTGATATTAGGGATTAATATATTTATTCACACCTGTTGTTTGAGTGCCCGCCTGTGCTGGGCACTGTGCTGGAGAGAGGTGTACAAATTTCAATGAGGCCAGAACTGTGACATTGAGAGCTCAAAGTCTAGTCTGGGAGACAAGACATAAACAGATGATTACAGTCTATTGTGGTGAGGGCTCATATAGGTTGCCTGTAAAAGGAGTGACCGACTTACTTTGCCTAACAGGCTTCCCCAAAGCAGGTGACATCTGAACAAGAGCTTTAAAGATGAGTGAGATTTCAGCCCAGTGTGGGTGGACGGGACATTCCTGGCCTGTACCCAGGGGTGCAGAGTCTTAAAGGGCATCTTTGAGGAGGTTGGATTAGATGAGAGCCCATCTGGCCTGAGTCTTCCTTTATCAAAATGGCCCAGAGAGTCTAAGGGATGTGCCCAATTCCCTGGGCAGCTGGTTAATAGCAGAGGGAGGACTAGAATTGTGCTTTTCCTCATCTTGTCTTTTGCTCTTTTTCAAAACCGGGTTAGTATACATGAAATGAGGTATTCATGCTTAGTGCCCATGGATTACTTTCTTTTGTAACCATTGATTTTTGTACTTGTTTTGTTTAACGCTTCTTTCATTTGGCAAAAATGTTTTAAGACTAAAAAGATGTTTTAAGATTCATGTGGTTACGTGCATCTATAGTTTTCTTTTTTTTTTTTTCCTTTTTCTTATTGCTGAGTAGTTTTCCATTGTATAAATATACCACCATTTGTTTATCCTGCTGCTGGCCACCTGGGCTGTTTCCAGTGTTTGGCTATATTGTGAATAAAGCTGCTATGAAAAGTCTTATATGAGTCTTTTTGTGTATATATACTTTCATTTCTCTTAGGCAATACCTAGGAGTAGAATTGCTGGGTCATAGGGTATGTGAATGTTCTGTGATAAACTGCTAAGCCTTTTTCCAAAGTGGTTGTACATTTTACACTTCCATCATCAGTATATGAGAGTTCCAATTGCTCCACATCCTGTCAGATTTTGATTTTGTCAGTCTTTTAATTTTAGCTGTTGTGGTGGGTGTGAGGTGATATGTCATGGCAGTTTTAATTTTCATTGTTCTGATGATCAGTGGTACTGCACATCATTTTATGTGCTTATTGACTATTAGTATATGTTCCTTGGAAGCATCTGCTTTTTTTTTTTTGTTTGTTTGTTTAAACATTTTATTGGGGAATTGGGGGGAGGGTAACAGCGTTGGGGAATCGGGGAAGGGTAACAGACAGGTAGACAAATTGCTGTTTTGTTCTTCAGTCTAGTTGTGGAGGAGGTCGCTTCAGTGGCCCATGTTGGTATGATCATTGCGCTCTTCCTTGGTGAGGCAGATCAGTTGCCGGTCGTTGGTCGGCCGCTCACAATGGCTCCTGGTAGCTCACACTGGCTACCAGCCTCTCACGCTGGCTGCCAGCCATCACGTAGCTCACGGCAGCCCAGCTCCAGGTCGAGCTGTTGTTCATCATCTTAGCTGTAGAGGGTGAGCGTCACTGGCCCTCAATGTGGGATCCGAACCACAGCCCTGCTGCTCAGAGCTGGTGCTCCCAAGCGAGCTCTTAACCAGCTGAGCCACTCGGCCGGCCCAGGAAGCATCTGTTTTAAAACTTTTGTTCTTTAAAAAACTGGATTGTCTGTTACAGAAATTTTTAAATGTAAAGAAAATACTAAATAAACTCTGATATACTTGTAAAAAAATCAACAACTGGATTGTCTTTTTATTTTTGATTCATAGTCAATATTTTAAGGTACATCATGTGTGGGCCAAGTGTTGTAGATAATAGATCTCAAAATATATAGTGGTATAAACATATAAGAAATTTATTTCTCTCTTACATGATGAGCCAGACTGATTTGAGGTTTAAAAGAGGAGTGAATACCCTGTTGCTCACAGTTATTGAGGTCTCCAGGCTGAAGGAGGCTGTCCCTTTGTTAACACATGGGTTTTAAGGTTGCCCTGGGCATCATTTTCCAGCCACAGAAGGTTATGAGCCTTGGAGGAGTGTGTGTGTGTGTGTGTGGGGGGGGAAGGTTTAGGGTCCAGGCTGGAAGTGGGTCACTTCTCACATTCCATTGGCTAGAACGCTGTCACATGGTCACACCTAACTGTGAGGGAGGCTGGGAAATGTAGCCTACCTTTGTGTCCAGGTAGCTGACAACACTACATTATCCAAACCATACATTCCATGTTTGTTGAAAATCTATCCAGCCATTGTCTTGTGATGTGGTGAATGGCAAACAGATATAATCTCTTTGTAAAGGTTATTTCCCTTTTACTTTCTGACATTAAAATATTCTTTCTGTTAGAAAATTATGACAGTGATGGATGGTATGTTTTTTAAGAATCTCCCCTTGCTTGGGAAACGCTTTTACAATACATAAATGGGCAGCTATGTATCAGTATCCTGCCTCTCACTCCCCAAGTTGTTTTGACTTTTACTGGGCTGTGAGAGCTTTAAGTTTTGGAACTGCTATCGGAGAGCACCATGTTGTCTCCTCTTCCCTCAAGACCCAGATGCAGAACGCCAAGCAGGGTGTATCATCCTTTGGAACCAGAGTGTCTGCCAATGTGAATTTATTGGGCGTCTCCTCCTGTGGTCAGATTTTGTTGCTGACGAATGAACTTGTAGCTTTGTACATTTTATTAAGCGAGCATTGCATCTGATATGTTCATAGGTATGACTCGGATCTTCTTAAAGATCTTTACTTCCCTTTTTCTCAAAATACATCGAGGGGAAGGAGGTGATTCTCCAAGTAATCACTTTGGATGGAACCTAAATGGGAACTGTTGCTCACTGCCTAGAATGCCACGGGCTCTTCCTTTGGGATACTTAGGCTTAATTGGTGACCTTGGATTCCTCAAAAATTGGAGAATTTGAGTATTTCAAGCCTTACCTTTTAGAACAGCTCCCTTTTTACCTGGGAGAGAGGTTGGGTCTTAGTGCATCCTTTCCTGTCAATGAATCATAAGACAGAGTCTGTGAGGGTCTATTTATTTTTAAAGGTACTTGATGATAACCATATTGATGTAATATTACCAACATTTGGGATGGAGACAGGGTGACTGATAACTCCCTGTGCACATGGTTTTGTTTGAACTACTTAGGAATGGAATTGCTGGGCCGTAATGTGGGGGAGGGGGGAGGCATACCTTAGGAATAGTGGAATAAAAAATTTTAAGCTTTCATTTCTATTCGCCAATATCTAGACCACTCCATATTTTACCCCAGGTAAGAAAAAAAAGGGCTGATTGCAAAATATAAGAAAAGCAACTATATGTTTTTGTTTATTTTCTTTTCATTTTTGGTCTGTATTTTCTTTCTGAGTACTGTGACTACTGTAGTTTCTGTTGCAAAAAGTAAAGGAATTTTTTACATTTGCGGATCAATTATTCTTCATTTTTTGAGTGTTTCTTTCTCTCTCCCTCTTATTCTGTACTTTTTTTTTTAAATTGAATGACCCTGCCAATTCTCAGTGCTACCAGACTTAAAAAGCAGTTTTAAGACAGAAAACCTCTTTTACAATGGCTGTTATTCTGTGCATTTTAAAGATTTTATTTTTGATAGGATATTTCTAAATGTTTGCTAATTATTGAAAACCACTAGCAATGTTTTGATCATTTCTTGTTGGAAACACTGACAGTTCACCAAGAAGAGAGGAAAAAAATATGTGTAACTATAGTAGTCCCCCCTTATCCCTGGGGTATATGTTCTAAGTCCCCCAGTGCATGCTTGAAACCGCAGATAGTACTGAACCCTATATATACTATGCTTTTTCCTATGCATAGACACCTTTGATAAAGTTTAATTCATAAATTAGGCACAATAAGAGATTAACAACTAACGGGCTGGCCGAGTGGCTTAGTTGGTTAAGAGCTCGCTCAAGAGTGTGAGCTCTGAGCAACAGTGGTTCTATTCCTGGCCCGAGCTGAGCTGCTGCTGAGCTGCCAACAGGTGGCAGAATGGCTCAGCTAAAATTAAAAAAAAAAAAAAAGATTAACAACTAATAATGAAGAACAGTTATTTATAACAATATACTATGATAAAAGTTATATGAATGTGTTCTCTCTCTCAAAATACCTGGAATTTTTCATTCAATATTTTCAGACTGCAGTTGACTGCTGGTACCTGAAATACCAGAAAGTGAAACTGCGGATAAGTGGAGACTACCCTACTTGCAAGAATGGCCCTTGGCTGGTTCTGGACTTGGATTTGGGGAGGCTGCCTACCATCCTAACTGATAAGAATGGCTCGCTGTGCCTAAGGTGTTTGCACAAACAATGCAGTGTATGCTGAACACCTGCTTTTCTTCTGGGGGTGAGAGGGTGCCTCCATGATCAGCCCCCAGTGCAAACCCTG